TAATTTGCATACGGTTTTTTATTATTGTGCATATTATTACTACGAGTATTGTATACTATGAATTATTTACGAATGTCATACGGGAAATGTCATTTATGAATATTATACGATATTTATATTATTTACAAGTATTATTTGTGTTTGTGTTTATATTTATTGGTTATTTGTGTTGACAAATGTTATTTAATCTTTTCATTTTTTTATCATAACTTTTAACAAATTTACAATACTTATCTAATTTAATTTTATATATTTTATACTTGAACGAATATTTTAAATAGAAAATATTTGTTTATCATTATTTTCTTATCTTAGAAAATATTGCTTTTATTCCTAATTTCTTCTTATTTGTAAGAATTCAAAAATGTATTTTTTATAATTGGAAAAGTCATATAATGAAGAGTTGGTAACACAAAAAACCCTTTCAATAATAATGTGCTAATAACATTTATAAGATATACATAGAAATAGACATAGAAATATTGAACAAAATAAAAATAAAAAAGCCAGAATAGTTTTATACTGATATACACGTCGATGTACGTCATCGATAGAAGTGTAAAGTAGGAAAATGAACGAAAGAAAGCTGATCGTACAAGTGTTAAGAGGATAAAAAGTTTTCAGACTGTTGAACTTACTTGAAGCCTGCATCGCTACAGCAACCGCAACGAACACTGCAGCCATTGACCTAGAGAGGTATCGAGTGTCAATACGAAGGGTTGTGAAGTAAACGTGAAAAGGCGGAAGCTAAAACTACAATTTTATCTCCGTACCATTTTCTGTAGGACCTAAGTACATACAGTATAGGTCAATGACTGCAGTTTTTCTTGCAGATGGTGTGTATCATCCGCCTTATGGTTCCCTAACCTAACTCCTGGCTGAAAATCGTAAAAAATTTGAAGAACTCATTCCGAGAAAATGATACAAGATTAGCTGTTTTTATTCTTCTGAATAGTGGAAAATTATGAAATTTTTATTCGAAGGTTCTCGTTTATATTGCAGCTGTTAATTAATAAAATGCAGAACCATCTAAGGAAGCAATGACCATTATCCTTTGAACACCTTGTACGTATACATAAACGATGGACACGGACTGATGATCATAGTCAGGTTCCCATGCAACCCCCTGCGAACACTCTGACCACATGACACCTACAGGGGGTGGAATTCCGATGCACATGCCGTTGCCGCGTTCCCTCGATAAACGCCATGTGGGGTACGCACGCCATGTGATATTCACCGAGTAGAAGCCTTCGCTTACGTGTACAACACGCCGGAAGGAAGTCGTTGGCGATCGCAAAGTAGAAGTATTGTTTCCTTTTCGTTACGATTTCGTGTCGATAGATTGTTCACCGTTTCTTCGAATTCGATGAAGGGTAAATTTGATCAGGGAAATAAATCTGTGCAAAGATCGAAACAGTAAAAAATGTTTGCAGTCTATAGGATTACGTTGATGGTAAGTTCGTTCTTTTCGTATTGATCCTTCAACGTTCGCCTTTTGATCCACGCGAAAGCGATGCATCGGCTGCGAATGAATCTGAACGAAGAACAGATTTCTTTCTTTTCGCTGGTGGATTCATTAAAAAATTTCGATTCGGAGTTATCCTTTTGAAATTTCATGCTAGGTCGATTCACCGATGGAAACCGCGTGATCGATGGTAAGAGATTAACAAACGCTTTTCCTTGCCCGGGGCTCTTTTGTGCTCGGATCTCTTCCTTAATTACCCGGCCTATAGGTGGAAGTTATCAGCGTCGATAGTTCGGGACAATGGCCACCTTAGATCCTAACCCCTTAACGATGAAAGTCTTCGGGAAAAGTCGATAGCATTACGGGTCGCTCTCCATTTAATTCCAGTCGATGGTTAATTTTTTAATGCAACAATTTCTCTTCATTCTATTTCCATTTGATATTGTTTCTTATAATCTTCGTTTCGAAACTATACCTTAGCTATAGCCTGCTATAGATAGACATATATTTCTGTTTCTAAATTTTGGTCCCTATATCCTAAATTTCTATGACCTTAGATCTCTAGCTACAGACTCCTAGATCTCTAGATCCAAAGATTTTTAGATACACTAATTTCTATACCTATAAATTCCAGATCTTAATACTCTGAGATTCCTAGATCTCCAAATCTGTATAATTCTATATCACTAAATTGCAGTACTCCAATATTTTCTACATATATCTCTAAATCTATACTCTTAGACCACCATATTCACAGATTAGTGTACTCGTAGAATTTCTAGATTCCTAAAATCTTTATTTAGAACTGGATACCTATTTTTTATAGCTATATTTCTACACCCTCTTTCTCCACATTTCCCATATCCCTACATGTTTGTTTTCCAAATATACAACAAAATATTAAATATGTAAGATACACACTTAATGAATATCAACCTAACCATATGATTTGTAGACCCTTCGGATCAAGTCACCTGTTTAAACGGTAAATATCGCATGGCGCACAGGAAATGGTTGTTGGTGGTTCATCAAGTTGTTTTCGCTTCGTTCAAAGGTGATCGATTCGGGTGTCATTGTCCGTCAAAATACATGCTCTGATAATAACAAAGCCGTGTTTTTTTTCGACCCGCCACGAACGAGCTTTCTAACTTTTGTACACGGTTATGGTTCATCAATCTCAATCGAAAATTACTAACTCGTTTAACCCATCGATGGGAAAGTTTATTTTCAACTTCAATACTGTCCTTCAAAATAGCATGACAATTATTGTTCTGTTTCGTACAGGACTACTGTTTCTTGCGTGTAATTAGCCAGAAGTGTCCGGTTCCGAGGCGATACAGTGGGGAAGTTCCTAAAACCATTTCCGGTAGGGCACCTTTTCATACCTCGCCGCTGCATGCATGGCGGCACAGAAGGGAAGTGCCCGATCAAAAGTAGGAAGTACAGAAGTTGCCGACCCCCCTCGAAGCGTTTGCGTTCTTCTAGGCAGGTACGATCGTAGACGTTATCGAGCCTGCGACCATATGTCACCCCTTCAGCCACCGATTACACCCCCTGTCCTCTGCCTAAGATAATTACGTGGGAGCAGAGAGTGTTTCTTTACGAGGAAAGCGCTCGGAAGGTATGGAAATCTATGCGAAGTGTTTGTCCGAAGTTCCTTCGAATAAAGGCACAGCTAATTAGCTCGCGTTACATCGTTGTTCCCGTATCCGTTCAATTAGACACTCGATTAGATCGTAGCTGGCAAATAATCGATGAATTCTAAGCAGATTTCACCCTCTTCTAAACGGGAGAACAGCGAGACGTGGATGTGCGCGGGCGCACGCAGTCAGAGGGGAGAAAAAAAGTACAACGATCCCGTGTTTCCACCAATTCGCCGCTTTTGCCACGTGTTGCTATGTACACGTATTGCTCTTTGAGCCTTCTTGTTGCTTCATGAGCGCGTATATATACGTCTAGTCGGTTCGTCGATATATAGGGACGAGTACTCGTGTCCTCGAACGCAGGCGGCTCGTACGTAGGCAAACTATGGAATATGTCGGCCTATTGAGCGCAGGTGCTTTAAGCTGCTCAGCTGTTGCTTCGAATCTTATGCACATTCACACAAACATGTATCGCGTTGATATTGGTGCACACCGAGCCAGAGCGGCGTATCAGGACTGCGTGCGTGCAAACGCAGAACCGGCTCGCGTGTACCCACGCACTTACGTATCGGCAATTGAATCGTGAAACGATCGGGCCCTCGCAGCAACCTCTGTCATCGGTGAATGAATACGTTGAACGGTCGTTCGATTATGACCCATCATCGAATAACGCCGTTAGACACTTTCGAACGAGGGCAAATTTTATTCGACCACAGTGATGAGCATTGAACGTCGAATTCGGAATATCTTTTATCTTCCCGAGCCAGATGGTGTGCCGGTCTTTGGCCGACAATTCGCTAGCAATTATGTTTTTTTGTACCCCTTTCTCTCTCTTTATCGATCAACCGCTACTGCAATCCCTGACAAGTCCGGAACTGGCGGCGTTTCGAATAAGAAATTCAACGTAAGTAATTTTCTTATGGCCACCCTCTTCTTCCATAAATCCCAACCACGGTATTCGTTGTATACTTTTAGCTCCTCGATTAAAGACGATGGTCTAAGTCGGAGCGTATTCTGTGATACTGTTCGTATTACGGAAATGCCATTCTTTGTCTTCTCGCCCTGCTCGATTATTGTATTTTTAACCTGATGAGGACTTACTACCCTCGTCTACGTTTCCCACAGGTACAAAACTTGATCGTACAATGAACCAATACGCTTTCCCTACTTGTATGGTCAAGAAAAGTATTTTTCCCCGCCGATTACATACTAGGTTAAAACTCGGAACAAGAAGGAGACGGATATAACGTGTAACGACCATAAAATTGGTTTTTAGAGATCGAAAGTATAAATTTAGAACAATACGTTGTTATAAAAATTTCTGATTTACGTTTTGAAATGCTCTTATAGATAAATCCTATTATCGGGTATATTATATTACAATCAACATATTATTATTAACATACATATGTGAATATGATCGTTTCAAATAATTATGCAAAATTTTAAGTACTTCATCGAATATTTATCGAACAACAATAATTAAATAAATTATTTATGAAATACATATGATCTGATATTCCCATAACTGATCACAATTCTTTGGATTTATGTATATGAAAATTTAATAAAAAAATAGCCGAGAATACATTTACCTCAAAAAAATATTCATTGACTCATTTTTAAAAATTCACCTAAAGTAAATCGTAAACCAACTGAATATATCGAATCTTTTATCGGTCGTAATTACCCGAGTAATTGTAAATAAAATTATGTCATAAAGACAAACGCATGGCAATCGTACAACCATACCTTCTATCTATATTTATTACAGTACAACTAGAATATAAAATAGAGTACACTATCTTGGCTATAAATGTAAGATCGATCATGTTTGACTAGTCGCGTGAACGAATTATTTTGATAGCTGTTATATTTTTGTGTTGCAGACGAATAAGAAGAATCGCGGCAAGGAAAATCGAGACGAGGGAGCGAGGGGCACCTAGCCCTTTGGCGAGCTCGAAGGATGCAGCTCCCAGGCGGGAGCACGAGGATTCCGCCCGCGAGAGCACCGGTTTCACTTCTCGTGATCATCAACGGAAGTAATATCGCATCGACTGTCGTGAAGAAACGCAGCAACGGTAGAAACTGTAGCGGAAGCGGTGGAGCCGGTTCAAATAGTCATCGTGGCAAGAACGGTGGGGAAAACGTAAGGAAAAGCGATAGCAGTGGAAACGGTCCCGAGATCGAGCCGCGTCTCGTGAAAAGAAATCGTCATCCCGAGACGAGGACGAACAGCCGACACCGAGTCACCGAGAAGCCCCAGCTGTTGGCGTCAGCTCCAAGGCGGAAGGAGCGGGGCGAAGAATAGTGAAAAGAAGCTAGAGAAAAAGCAAGGAACGACGGAAGAAGAGGAAGAGGAGGCGCGAGAGAAGGAGAAGAAGGTGAAGAAGAGAAAGCAAGAGTTCGTCGGGAAGGAGACGGGTGCCGACGTCGTCGTCGTCGGCGGCGGCGGCGGAGGAGAAAGAGGCGGAAGAAGAGGAGGAAGAGGAGAAGGAGAAGGAGGCGGCGGCGGC